ATGATGGGGCTCCCGCCCATTTTAGTCAAGTAGCACGTCAGCATTTAACTGAAACATATGCAAATCAGTGGATAGGTCGAGGAGGACCACAGAACCGACCCGTTCGATCCCCGGATCTCAACCCTCTCGATTTTTCTATTTGGGGCCATTTACAGCATTTGGTTTATCGTACTTCTGTTCGCGGTGTAGAGGACTTAAGAAACTGCATCATCGATGCGTGCAGGGTAATCAGAGAGACTCCAGGAATATTTGAGCGAATACGTGGCTCAATGCGCTGACGTCTAGACGCATGCGTAATGTCTGAAGGTAGACATATTGAACATTTACTATGATTTCTACATGTTGTGTGTTTTGTTATTAATAAATTAGTTTTATTTATTACCCTTTAACCGTTTAATGCAGGTACATACTAACTACAAAATAACAATAAATCCAGTTCGCATTTATGACGATGTATCTCTGCAGTTGTTCGTAAAATAATTTTTTGCTGCGAACTGGTTTAATTTGGGCAAAAAACCCAAGAGATATTTTATGTTTAGAATGAAACAGGCTATCGGAAATAAATTTTCAAATGGTAAACAAATAATAAGACAAAAAGTTACATTGGAAATAAATTTTAGAGGTTGCGTTTTCCACCCCTACAACCATGGGGTAAACCAAATAAATTACTGGCTAAGTGTCTTTTTGGCAGTACAAAACGTCAGGTTTATTTCAATATTGTAACTTTTTCAGTGCTTGTAAAAAAAATGTTATACAAATTCCATGTACCCCCTTTAAGGGGCTGTATCTTAACAAGGGATGCTCCAATGAAATTTCTTTATATGAAAGATCCTAACTTTTTTTCGATGAGGAATCACCTTCTTGAATGTTTTACACTTATTCAGTTACACCCTGTATATAAATATGCATATAAATATAATGAAACAATTATTTCAAAACTCACCTATCTAAAATATCATAAATAGAAGAAGGAAGTATTCGGTCATCAGAAACGGTAAATGGCGCTGGACTCGAATCTGAACTACTTTTGATTTCATTATTCTCTAAAGATGGGAAAACACCCAGGAACAAATGCTCATACGGCCAGAAATTTTCAGTTTGCGTTGCACAAGAATTCAGGTTTTCACGAAGCCTGATTTCAGGTAAGTTCAATCCATTAACATTTTCGAAATCACCTTCAAGTTTTTCCTCAGAATTTTCTTCATCAGTTTCATCTAATGGTCTACTAATATTGTCTTTTGTTGGATTAACAGGACTTTTTTTCATCTCAGGACATGACACCGCACGCCTCACAGTTGTACTGCTGGGAAAAGAAATACCTTAAACAGTAAGAAAAAAGCTATTAGATAATTTGAACTGATGCGAAAAAATGAGAGCGAATCATTTCTCATGTGAGCGGATTTGAAATACTACACTCACTCAATTGTTTGATAGTCCAGAACTTAAATTATTATTTTCGAAAGTGATAAGGAAGTTGACTTATACTTACTATTTCCTGGACTGCTGCCGGTAGAAATTTCCATTTTATCGAGTTCGGGATTACACTGACTATGGTGCCTTAATCGCCGAACACGCTTTGAAAATTTATTTATTGATTTAGAGTTTGGCATATGGAGACCCCCAGCGGTACAAGGTGACCCGTGTTCTTCTTCATCTCCTAATTTATCATCGGAAACTAAAAAAAAATCATGGTAAGTGTACTCAAATGTTGAAATAATTTGTAAAATAATTACAGAATCAAATACTTTCAGGTAAAATATGAAAGACTGACCATTATCAATAAAAATTCCGCCAGGCCTCAAAATTTCATTGTTAAATTTCCACTTCTTAACTGTTATTTAGCAGTACTATGAGAGCAAACAACCTTCTAGCCTTCAATTTTTTCGATTTGAAGGAAATGACCGCATTAAAATCTTTAAGAGTATTCTTTGGTTTTCGGAGCACACCCAAACAAGGCCGTAGCCAGGGGGGGATCAAGGGGCATTGATCCCCCCGAACAATGTGAGGATTTTGTGAAGAATACTAAATAAGGGCGCGAAAATGTGAGTATTACGGCAGCTCAAAGTAATTTTGACATCTTACATTGGCAACACTGCTTATGCCGTTTCTGCGGAATATATAAGAGCCCTGTCGAGCACGCAGGCGCCACTCGGAAAGCACCAAGCCCAGACAGCACTGAAAGTGCTGCCGCGAAAGGGTATAGCAGCCATAACCAACATCATATATGCTATACTCAGATTGCAACACTTCCCGTACCCGTTCAAAGAGGCAACGGTAATCCACATACCGAAGCCCAAGAAGAACCATCTGTTTCCAGCGAACCACCGGCCAATTAGCTTACTGCCATCCGTAAGCAAAGTGGTGGAGCGTGTCATCCTGAAGTGACTGGAAGAACAAACTAGAGAGTTAGGGATCCTCCCCGACGAACAATCCGGTTTTAGATCAGAACACTCAACAGAGCTACAAATCCTGAGGGTAGTGGACTTTGCGACAGAAGGATTCAACCTTGGTAAAGGATACAACACCGGAGCTATCTTCTTAGACGTCTTCAAGGCGTTTGACAGAGTTTGGCATGACGGGCTACTGGCCAAGATGAGCGATTTTGGATACTCAAATCCAATGGTAAGATTGATTCAGTCTTTTCTAGCTGACAGGCGATGCCGCTGCAAAGTAGGAGACGAATTATCAACAGTTCGACTACTGGAAGCAGTCCCGCAAGGTGCAGTCTTTCGCCACACCTCTACTCCGTATACACGGCAGACGTGCCCAAGCCAGAGAACAACTTTAACAAGTTGGCGCCCTACGCGGACGACACGGCCCTGCTGGCGAGATCTACGAGTCAAGCACACGTTACGAGATACCTTCAACAACAGGTAGACAGATTAGAGGAGTGGGCTATCCTGTGGAAGATCAGTATCAACCCTGACAAGAGTCAGGCGATACTGTTCACTGACATACCTTGGGGTCATCCTAGACAGAAAACTAACATTCCAGGCCCACGTACAGCAGAGAATAGGAATGGCCAGACAGGCCAGACGACGCATGGCGCCGATCATAGGAAGAAATAGTAACATGGCATTGAAAGTCAAGTTACTAATGATCAGAACGATTCTAATGACAATAATTCTGTATGCATGCACTGCCTAGGGCCAGTGTGTGCAGACATACAGGAAGAAGATCCAATCGTTTATGAATGTGAGCGTAAGGGCCGCTGTAAACGCACCTTATTATATACCCAATAGATTTATATACAGAGACTTAGACCTGGACACGCAATATGTGGAAGTGTATATGAGAGAACATGCAGAAAGCACGTTCGATAGAATCAGATCGCATGTTTCACATCCATTTTCATATATTAGATAAATGTAATGAATTGATAAACAATCTGTGCAAAACTTATTGTTAAATTGTGTTGTATTGTAAATTGTGTTGTATTGCCAAACATGCGCCAAACTGACTGACTATTATGAGAAAACAAGTATAGCTGAGGCACCAGTCAATCTAATAATAACACCGACGATCTTCAAATATGACTCAACCTCTGACGGAAGCACCAAACTCTTACAAAGGTTCGAAATAGATGAACACTTCAATCTAGCAGACCACTATTATAATCCTCATGCAGCCATTGTTCACTGTGGTTCTGGCGTTGAATCTCGCCATTATTACGCATTGGTCAAAGATGAAACAGATTGGTTTAAATTTGACGATAGTTGTGTCACTAAGTGTTCTAGCCATGAATTTATTGCAGCCTCTGGAGATACCCTACATTTGTTTTACGAAAAAGAGGACTTTGGCAAATCAAGATCTTTAGATGAAGTGGTGCTGCAGGTTTTTCCGGGTTTTCCTGCAGCTGAAAAAGCAAATGCGCCACTGAAATCAATGAAGTCGCCCCGGAGCGCCAATTAATTTTTGTTGTTTCATAATTTCACGATTTGTATTACTTTCTTCTTATCAAATTTATATCCGTTAAAAAAGGTTTTAGATGTTGAGCCAGATCTTATTGAAGTCTAGCTAACTTGGGCAGAGAAATGCCCGTGTGTGAAAAAAGTGGATTGCATCATTGGATGAAAGGTACTCAGTTGCCAAAACGTTAATCAACTTGATAGTTGGAGTATGCAGAACATTTAATTTTGGTAAATCAAATCAAACCATTTTTGACTCATAATCTGGGACGAAACTACTAGAATTATTAAACTAAAATTATACATTTTCAGTACATACCATCCTCTAAACATTGAGAAGTTGAATCACTTTCTGAAGGTCTGTCTAATTTATTTCTACCAAACATGGTTAGGACTTCTTCATCATCTTCATGGCTAACAGGAGATTCGTTTCTTTGGTTTAAATTAGAAATCTTTGATTCATGACTTGTTATACACTGTGGACTAGAAGCTTGTGGTAAATGTTTGCTCTTGGGTAAATCTGAACTGGTCTGGGTTGCACTTGTAACCTGAAAATTTCAATCATTTGAACAGAAATAAAAGAAATCCCGTTTCAATAACAAAACAATTATCAGGGAATCAAAAAAAAAATCAAACAGGAAGATGGTATTTTCATCAGAAAATTGAAATGCATTTCAACTAAATTACTACAAGACAAACTGTGGTATGAATTTTCCTTTAGATATGATTGTTCATACAGCTTCAATGTGCATTCGACCAATCACTGACAATTTTTAAACGTCATAATTTACAATACATTGGAAATTTTATGATTGGAAAATTGTTATAAAACATTTTTCCTGGAGTCACCATTCTCAACTGAAGATTTGTAATTGTTTGAATAAAGATGTTTTGAAGACCTCTATTAACGAAGGTTCTGCTGGTTAGGCCCTTTCCCTGAATCTTCGATACAGTCGAAGGGTGCACCAATGAGGTAGGTGATCACTGGGTTCGAGAATCGTGTGCCTTGAGAAGACTCAATGAACGAATTCGCCAAGATTTCTGTCCAATTGCTGCAAACTGGTATTATATTAAGGTTCCAGAGTAGGGGGGCATCATTACGCCAAGGACTCCAACAATCAGAGCCATAGTTTCAATAGAGTGGTGTTGGTAGAATATGTAAAGCCCTAAAAGTTGCGAATTTCGGCAACGATCACAGTTTCGGCCGAAACAGAAACTTCCTCACAAGGATTATGTTTTGAGGAAAAAATAAAGAAAACGTTATTATAATCAGCCAGTCTTTATTTTTTTATCTTTAAATCACAACGTTATGCAGTCTTTGACATTTTTACTTATTGATAATCAACAAATCAACATAACAACCCCTTATTTAAGAAAAAATATTGATTGTACCTTAAAAATACTTGAAATAGGTGAGGTGTTTATTTGAGCAGGTGTAGATTCTTTTTGTAATAATAATAATAGTAATAAGGAGGATCGAAGAGATGAGTCGCTGGATGTAAAGAGAACCTGCTCGTCGATAGATGTGTAACGCAGAACTCGATACAATATAAGCGTAACCTCTCTATGGCCTGGATCGATTACCGTTAGGCATTTGATACAATTTCGCATGAGCTCATCTTGCATTTGCTCAGATGCCTTGCGGTACCCGATAACATAGTGAGATGCAATGAACAACTGATACCACTTTGGCGAACTCGCTTCACCATAACATCTGGTCAAGCAAGAGTCCACACAGGGTGGGTCACTTTCAGAAGGGGTGTATTTCAGGGTGATTCCCTCAGTCCCCTTCT